TCAGAGTGAGGAACCTAGTCATCAGAGTGAGGAACTTTTTCCTCAGAGTGACGAACCTTGTCCTCAGAGTGTGGAACCTTGTTCTCAGAGTGAGGAACTTTGTCCTCATAGTGAGGAACCTTGTCCTCGGAGTGAGGAACCTTCTCCTCAGAGTGAGGAGCCTTTTCCTCGGAGTAAGAAACCCTCTCCTCAGTGTGACGAGCATTGTCCTCAGAGTGAAGAACCTGCTTTCAGAGTGAGGAACCTTGTTCACGGAGTGAGGACCTTGTCCTCAGAGAGAGAAGAACCTTCTCCTCTGAGCGACGAACCTTGTCCTTAGTGTGAGGAAACTTGTCCTCAGTGTGAGGAACTTGTCTTCAGTGTGAGGAACCTTGTCCTCAGTGTGAGGAACCTTGTCCTCAGTGTGAAGAACCTTGTCTTCTGAGTGAGGAACCTTGTCCTCAGTGTGAGGACCCTTTTCTTCAGAGTAAGGAACCTTGTCCTCAGAGTTAGGAATCTTGTCCTCAGAGTGAGGAACCTTGTCCTCAGAGTGAGGAACCTTGTCCTCCGAATGAGGAACCTTGTCCTCAGAGAGAGGAACCTTCTCCTTAGAATGTGGAAACTTGTCCTCAGAATGAGGAACTTTGTCCTCAGAGTGAGGAACCTTGTCCTCAGAGTGAGGAACCTTGTCGTCAGAGTGTGGAACCTTGCCTCAGAGTTAGGAATCTTGCGTCAAGTGTGGAACCTTGTTCTCAGAGTGAGGAACTTTGTCCCCATAGTGAGGAACCTTGTCCTCAGACAAAGGAACCTGCCTTCAGACAGAGGAACCTTGTCCTCAGATTGAGGAAACTTGTCTCCAGAAAGAGGAACCTTGTCCTCAGAGTGAGAAACCTTCTCCTCAGCGTGAGCAACCTTGTCCTCAGAGTGAGCAACCTTGTCCTCAGAGTGAGCAACCTTTTCCTCAGAGTGAGAACCTTGTCCTCAGAGTAAGGAAGCTTGTCGTCAGAATGAGAAACCTTGTCCTCAGAGTGAGGAACCTGCCTTCAGAGTGAGAAACCTTGTCCTCAGAGTGCGGAACCTAGTCATCAGAGTCAGGAACCTTTTCCTCAGAGTGAGGAACCTTGTCCTCAGAATGAGGAATCTTGCCTCAGAGTGTGGAACATTGTTCTCAGAGAGAGCAAATTTGTCCTCATAGTGAGGAACCTTGTCCTCAGAGTGAGGAACCTTCTCCTCATAGTGGGGAACCTTGTCCTCAGAGTGAGGAGCCTTTTCCTCGAAGTAAGAAACCTTCTCCTCAGTGTGACGAACATTGTCCTCAGAGTGAAGAACCTGCTTTCAGAGTGAGGAACCTTGTCCACGGAATGAGGACCTTGTCCTCAGAGAGAGAGGAACCTTGTCCTCAGAGTGAGGAACCTTGTCCTCAGAGTGAGGAACCTTGTCCGCAGTGTGAGGAACCTTGTCATCAGAGTGAGGAACCTTGCCTCAGAAAGAGAAACCTTGTCCTCAGAGTGAGGAACCTGCCTTCAGAGTGAGGAACCTTGTCCTCAGACAGAGGAACCTGCTTTCAGAGTGAGGAACCTTGTCTTCAGGTTCACGAAACTTGTCTCCAGAAAGAGGAACCTTGTCCTCAGAGTGAGAAACCTTGTCCTCAGAGTGAGCAACCTTGTCCTCAGAGTGAGCAACCTTGTCCTCAGAGTGAGCAACCTTTTCTTCAGAGTGAGGAACCTTCTCCTCAGTGTGAGCAACCTTGTCCTCAAAGTGAGGAACCTGGTCCTCAGAATGAGAAACCTTGTCCTCAGAGTGAAGAACCTGCCTTCACAGTGACGAAACTTGTCCTCCGAATGAGGAACCTTGCCCTCAGAGTGAAGAACCTGTCTTCAGAGTGGGGAAACGTGTCCTCGGTGTGAGGAACCTTGTCCTCAGAGTGACGAACCTTGTCCTCAATGTGAGGAATCTTGTCCTCAGAGTGAGAAACCTTCTCCTCAGTGTGAGGAACCTTGTCTTCAGAGAGAGGAACATGGTCCTGAGAGTGACGAACCTTGTCCTGAGTGTGAGGAACGTTGTCCTCAGAGTGAGGAACCTTATCCTCAGAGTGAGGATCATTGTCCTCAGATTAAAAACCTGGTCCTCGATGTGAGGAAGCTGTCTTCAGAGTTAGCATCCTTGTCCTCAGAGTGAGGAACCTTGTCCTCAGTGTGAGGAACCTTGTCCTCAGTGTGAGGAACCTTCTCCTCAGAGTGAGGAACCTTCTCCTCGGAATGAGGAACCTTGTCCTCAGAGTGGGAGCCTTGTCCTCAGGGTGAGGAGCATTGTCGTCAGTGTGAGGAAAGTTTTCTTCATAGTGAGGAACCTTGTCCTCAGAGCGAGGAACCTTGTCCTCAGCGAGAGGAACCTTGTTGTCAGAGTGCGGACCCTTGTCCTCAGTGTGAAGAAGCTTGTTCTCAGAGTGAGGAACCTTGTCATCAGAGTGAGGAACCTGACTTCAGAGTGAGGAACCTTGTCCTCAGAGTGAGGTACCTTGTCCTCAGAGCGAGGAACCTTGTTTTCGGAGTGAGGAGCCTTGTCCTTAGTGTGAGGAACCTTGTCCTGAGTGTGAGGAACCTTGTTCTCAGAGTGAGGAACCTTGTCCTCAGTGGGAGGAACCTTGTTCTCACAATGAGGAACCTTGTCCTAAGAGTGAGCAACCTTGTCCTCAGAGTGAGGAACCTTGCCTCAGAGTGAGCAACCTTGCCTCAGAGGGAGGAACCTAGTCCTCAGTGTGAGGAACCTTCTCCTCAGAGTGAGGAACCTTGTTGTCAGAGTGCGGACCCTTGTCCTCAGTGTGAAGAACCATGTCCTCAGAGTGAGGAACCTTGTCTCAGTGTGAGGAACCTTGTCCTCAGTGTGAGGAACCTTGTTTTCAGAGTGAGGAACCTTGTCCTCAGAGTGAGGAGTCTTGCCCTCAGTGTGAGGAACCGGGTTGTCAGAGTGCGGATCCTTGGCCTCAGTGTGAAGAACCTTGATCTCAGAGTGAGGAACCTTGTTCTCAAAGTGAGGAACCTTGTCTTCAGTGTGAGGAAACTTGTCCTCATTGTGAAGAACCTTGTCCTCAGAGAGAGGAACCCTGTCCTCAGTGTGAGGAACCTTGGCCTCACAGTGAGGAACCTTGTCCTCAGAGTGAGCAACCTTGTCCTCAGAGGGAGGGACCTTGTCCTCAGTGTGAGGAAACTTGACCTCAGTGTCAGGAACCTTGTTCTCCGAGGGAGGAACCTTGTCCTCTGTGTGAGCAACCTTGTCCTCAGAGTGAGGAACCTTATCCTCAGTGTGAGGAACCTTGTCCTCAGGGTGAGGAACCTTGTCCTCACAGTGAGGAACCTTCTCCTCAGAGTGAGGAGCCTTGTCCTCAGAGTGAGGAGCCTTGTCCTCAGTGTGAGGAACGTTTTCCCCAGAGTGAGGAACCTTGTCCTCAGAGTGAGGAACCTTGTCCTCAGAATGAGGAACCTTGTTGTCAGAGTGCGGATCCTTGGCCTCAGTGTGAAGAACCTTGTCCTCAGAGTGAGGAACCTTGTCTTCAGAGTAAGGAACCTGACTTCAGAGTGAGGAACATTGTGCTCAGAGTCAGGAACCTTGTTCTCAGAGTGAGGAGCCTTGTCCTCAGAGTGAGGAACCTTGTCCTCAGTGTGATGAACCTTGTTTTCAGAGTGAGGAACCTTGTCCTTAGTTTGAGGAACCTTGTCCCCAGCGTGAGGAACCTTGTTCCCAGAGTGAGGAACCTTGTGCTCAGTGTGAGGAACTTTGTCCTCAGTGTGAAGAACCTTGTCCTCAGAGTGAAAAACAATGTCTTCAGTGTGAGGAACCTTGTCCTCAGAGTGAGGAACCTTGTAATCAGAGTGAGGAACCTGACTTCAGAGTGAGGAACCTTGTCCTCAGAGTGAGGAACCTTGTTCGCAGAGTGAAGAACCTTGTCTTTAGTGTGAGGAACCTTGTCCTCAGCGTGAAGAACCTTGTCCTCAAAGGGAGGAAGTTTGTCCTCAGAATGAGGAACCTTGTCCTCAGTGTGAAGAATCTTGTCCTCAGTGTGAGGAACCTTTTGCTCAGAGTGAGGAACCTTGTCGTCAGAGAGAGGAACCTTGTCCTCAGAATCATGAACCTTCTTCTCAGAGTGCGGAACCTTGTCCTGAGTGTGAAGAACCTTGTCCTCAGGGTGAGAAACCTTGTCCTCAGAATGAGGAACCTGACTTCAGATTGAGGAAACTTGTCCTCAGAGTGAGAAACCCTGTCCTCAGAGTGAGGAACCTTGTGCTCAGAGTGAGGACCTTGTCCTCAGAGCGTGGAACCTTGGCCTCAGTCTGAGGAACCTGCCTTCAGAGGGCGGAAACTTGTCCTCACAGTGAGTACCTTGGCCTCCGAGTGGGGACCTTGTCCTCAGAGTGAAGATACTTGTGCTCACAGTGAGGAAACTTGTCCTCAGTGTGAGGAACCTTGCCATCGAAGTGAGGAACGTTGTCCTCAGAGTGAGGAAGCTTGTTCTCAGCGTGAGGAACCTTGTTCTCACTGTGAGGAACCATCTCCTCTGTGTGAGGAACCTTGTCCTCAGATTGAGGAACCCTTGTTCTCAGAGTGAGGAACCTTGTCCTAAGTGTGAGGAACCTTGTCTTCACAGTGAGGAACCTTGTCCTCACAGTGAGCAACTTTGTCCTCAGTGTTAGGAACCTTGTTCTCTGAGTGAGGAACCTTGTCCTCAGAGTGAGGAACCTGTCCTCAGAGTGAGGAACCTTGTCCTCAGAGTGAGCAACCTTGTCCTCATAGTGAGCAACCTTTTCTTCAGAGTGAGGAACGTTTTCCCCAGAGCGAGGAACCTTGTCCTCAGACTGAGGAACCTTGTCCTCAGTGTGAGGACCTTGTTGTCAGAGTGCGGATCCTTGGCCTCAGTGTGAAGAACCTTGTACTCAGAGTGTGGAACCTTGTTCTCAAAGTGAGGAACCTTGTCCTCACAGTGAGGAACCTTGTCCTCAGAGTGAGCGACCTTGTCCTCAGAGGGAGGAGCCTTGTCCTTGGTGTGAGGAACCTTGTCCTCAGTGTGAGCAACCTAGTCCTCAGAGTGAGGAACCCTGTATTCAGTGTGTGGACATTTGTCCTCAGTGAGGAACCTTGTTCTCAGAGTGAGGAACCTTGTCCTCAGTGTGAGCAACCTTGTCCTCAGAGTGAGGAACCTTGTCCTCAGAGTGACGAACCTTCTCCTCAGAGTGAGGAGCCTTGTCCTCAGAGTGAGGAACCTTGTCCTCAGAGTGAGGAACCTTGTTCTCAGAGTGCGGAACCTTGTCCTCAGTGTGAAGAACCTTGTCCTCAGAGTGAAGAACCTTGTCCTCAGAGTGAGGAACCTGACTTCAAAGTGATTAAAAGTGTCCTCGGAGTGAGGAACCTTGTCCTCAGGGTGAGGAACCTTGTCTTCAGAGTGGGGAACCTTGTCCTCAGTGTGAGGAACCTTATCATCAGAGTGAGGAACCTTGTCCTCAGAAAGAGAAACCTTGTCCTCAGAGTGATTAACCTTGTCCTCAGAGTGAGGGACCTTGTCCTCAGAGTGAGGAACCTTCTTCTCAGAGTGCGGACCTCGTCCTCAGTGTGACGAATCTTGTCCACAGAGTGAGTAACCTTGCCTTCCGAGTGAGGAACCTTGTCCTCAGAGTGAGCAACCTTGTTCTGAGAGTGAGGAACCTTGTCCTCAGTGTGAGGAACCTTGTCCTCAGTGTGAAGAACCTTGTCCTCAGAGTGAGGAACCTTGTCCTCATAATGAGGAACCTTTTTCTCAGTGTGAGGAATCTTGTCCTCAGTGTGAGGAACCTCGTCCTCAGAGTGAGGTACCTTGTTTTCTGAGTGAGGAGCCTTGTCCTGAGAGTGAGGAACCTTGTCCTCAGAGTGACGAACCTTGTCCTCAGTGTGAGGAACCTCGTCCTCAGAATGAGGTACCTTGTTCTCAGAGTGAGGAACCTTGTCCTCAGCGTGAGGAACCTTGTCCTCAGAGTGAGGAACCTTGTCCTCACAGTGAGGAACCTTGTATTCATAGTGAGCAACCTTGTCCTCAGAGTGAGGAACCATGTCCTCAGTGTGAGGAACCTCGTCCTCAGAATGAGGTACCTTGCCCTCAGATTGAGGAACCTTGTCCTCAGAGTGAGGAACCTTGTCCTCACAGTGAGGAACCTTGTCCTCAGAGTGAGCAACCTTGTCCTCAGAGTTAGGAACCTTGTCCTCAGTCTGAGGAAGCTTGTCCTCAGAGTGAGGAACCTTCTCCTCAGATTGAGGAACCTTGTCCTTCAAAGTGAGGTGCCTTGTCCTCAGAGTGAGGAGCCTTGTCCTCAGCGTGACGAACGTTTTCCTCATAGTGAGGAACCTTGTCCTCAGAGTGACGAACCTTGTCCTCAGTGTGAGGAACCTGCCTTCAGATTGAGGAACCTTGTCCTCAGAGTGAGGAACCTTGTCCTCAGAGTGAAGAACACTTTCCTCAGAGAGAGGAACCTTGTTCTCAGAGTGAGAAATCTTGTCCTCAGACTGAGAAACCTTGTCGTGAGAGTGAGGAACCTTGTCATCAGAGAGACGAACCTTGTCCTCAGTGTGAGGAAGCTAGTCCTCAGAGTGAGGACTCTTTTCCTCAGATTGAGGAACCTTGTCCTCATTGTGAGGAACCTGCTTTTAGAGTGAGGAACCTTGTCCTCAGAGTGAAGAACCTTGTCCTCTGATTGAGGAACGTTGTCCTCAGGGTGAGGAGCCTTGTCCTCAGTGCGAGGAACGTTGCCCTCAGAGTGAGGAACCTTGTTCTCAGAGTGAGGAACCTTGTCCTCAGAGTCCTCAGAGTGACGAAATTTGTCCTCAGAGTGAGGAACCTCTCTTCAGAGTGAGGAATCTTGTCTTCAGTGTGAGGAACCTTTTCCTCAGAGTGAGGAACCTTGTCCTCAGAGTGAGGAACCTTGTCCTCAGAGTGAGGAATCTTGTTGTCAGAGTGTGGACCCTTCTCTGTGTGAAGAACCTTCTCCTCATAGTGAGAAACCATGTCTTCTGAGTGAGGAACCTGACTTCAGAGTGAAGAATCTTGTCCTCAGAGTGAAGAACTTTGTCCCCAGAGTCACGAACCTTCTTCTCAGAGTGCGGAACCTTGTCTTCAGTGTGAAGAACCTTGTCCTAAGAGTGAGGACCTTGTCCTCAGAGTGAAGAACCTGACTTCAGAGTGAGGAACCTTGTCCTCAGAGTGAGAAACCTTATCCTCAGAGTGAGGAACCTTGTTCTCAGGGTGAGGAACCTTGTCTTTAGTGCGAGGAACCTTCTCGTCAAAGTGGGGAACCTTTTCCTCAGAGCGAGGAACCTTGTCCTCAGTCGGAGGAACCTGCATTCAGAGGGCGGAACCTTATCCTCAGGGTCAGGGCCTTGTCCTCAGAGTAAGGACCTTGTCCTCAGAGTGAAGATCCTTGTCCTCAGAGTGAGGAAACTTGTCCTCAGTGTGTGGAGCCTTGCCCTAAGAGAGAGGAACCTGTCCGCAGAGTGAGGAACCTTGTTTTCAGAGTGAGGAACTTCGTTCTCAGTGTGAGGATCCATGTCCTCAGTGTGAGGAACCTTGTCCTCAGAATGAGGAACCCTTGTTCTCAGAGTGAGGAACCTTGTTCTCAGAGTGAGGAACCTTGTTTTCAGAGTGAGTAACCTTGTCCTTAGTGTGAGGAACCTTGTCTTCAGTGTGAGGAACCTTGTTCTCAGAGTGAGGAACCTTCTCCTCAGTGTGAGGAACCTTGTCCTAGGTGTGAAGAGCCTTGTCCTCAGAGTGAGGAACCTTGTCCTCAGTCTGAGGAACCTTGTCCTCAGAGTGAGGAAACTTGTCCTCATAATGAGGAACCCTGTTCTCAGTGTTAGGAACCTGCCTTCAGATTGAGGAATCTTCTCCTCACAGTGGGGAACCTTGTCCTCAGAGTGAAGAACATTATCCACAGAGAGGGGAACCTTGTTCTCAGAGTGAGGAATCTTGTCCTCAGACTGAGGAACCTTGTCGTCAGAGTGAGGAACCTTGTCCTCAGAGAGACGAACCTTGTCCTCAGTGTGAGGAAGCTTGTCCTCAGAGTGAGGACTCTTATCCTCAGATTGAGGAACCTTGTCCTCATTGTGAGGAACCTGCTTTTAGAGTGAGGAACCTTGTCCTCAGAGTGAGGAACCTTGTTCTATGATGGAGGAACGTCGTCCTCAGAGTGAGGAGCCTTGTCCTCAGTGCGAGGAACCTTGTGCTCAGAGTGAGGAACCTTGTTCTCAGAGTGAGGTACCTTGTCCTCAGTGTCCTCAGGGTGATGAACCTTGCCTCAGAGTGAGGAACCTGTCTTCAGAGTGAGGAATCTTGTCTTCAGTGTGAGGAACCTTTTCCTCAGAGTGAGAAACCGTGTCCTCAGAGTGAGGAGCCTTGTCCTCAGAGTGAGGAACCTTGTCCTCAGAGTAAGCAACCTTGTTCTTAGAGTGAGGAACCTTGTTCTCAGAGTGGGGAACTTTGTTGTCAGAGTGCGGACCCTTCTCCTCAGTGTGAAGAGCCTTGCCCTCATAGTGAGGAACCATGTCTTCTGAGTGAGGACCCTGACTTCAGAGTGAGGAACATTGTCCTCAGAGTGAGGAACCTTGTCCTCGGAGTGAGGAACCTTGTCCTCAGTGTGAGGAACATTTTCCTCAGAGTGAAGAACCTTGTCCTCAGAGTGAGGAACCTTGTCCTCAAGAGTCATGCAACCTTCTTCTCCGAGTGCGGAACCTTGTCCTCAGTGTGAGGAAACTTGTCCTCAGAGTGAGGAACCTTCTCCTCAGTGCGAGGAACCTTGTCCTCAGAGTGAGGAACCTTGTTCTCAGAGTGAGGTACCTTGTCCTCAGTGTCCTCAGGGTAATGAACCTTGCCTCAGAGTGAGGAACCTGTCTTCAGAGTGAGGAATCTTGTCTTCAATGTGAGGAACCTTTTCCTCAGAGTGAGAAACCTTGTCCTCAGAGTGAGGAGCCTTGTCCTCAGAGTGAGGAACCTTGTCCTCAGAGTGAGGAACCTTGTTCTTAGAGTGAGGAACCTTGTTCTCAGAGTGGGGAACTTTGTTGTCAGAGTCGGACCCTTCTCCTCAGTGTGAAGAGCCTTGTCCTCATAGTGAGGAACCATGTCTTCTGAGTGAGGAACCTGACTTCAGAGTGAGGAACATTGTCCTCAGAGTGAGGAACCTTGTCCTCGGAGTGAGGAACCTTGTCCTCAGTGTGAGGAACATTTTCCTCAGAGTGAAGAACCTTGTCCTCAGAGTGAGGAACCTTGTCCTCAAGAGTCATGAACCTCCTTCTCCGAGTGCGGATCCTTGTCCTCAGTGTGAGGAAACTTGTCCTCAGAGTGAGGAACCTTCTCCTCAGTGTGAGGAACCTTGTCCTCAGAGTGAGGAACCTTGTCCTCAGAGTGAGGAACCTTGTCCTCAGAGTGAGATACCTTGTCCTCACAGTGAGGAACCTTGTCCTCAAAGTGAGCAACCTTGTCCTCAGAGTGAGGAACCCTGTCCTCAGTGTGAGGAAGCTTGTTCTCAGAGTGAGGAACCTTCTCCTCAGATTGAGGAACCTTGTCCTTCAAAGTGAGGAACCTTGTCCTCAGAGTGAGGAGCCTTGTCCTCAACGTGAGGAACGTTTTCCTCATAGTGAGGAACCTTGTCTTCAGAGTGAGGAGCCTTGTCCTCAACGTGAGGAACGTTTTCCTCATAGTGAGGAACCTTGTCCTCAGAGTGGGGAACCTTGTTGTCAGAGTGCGGACCCTCCTCTGTGTGAAGAACCTTGTCCTCATAGTGAGGAACCATGTCTTCTGAGCGAGGAACCTGACTTCAGAGTGAGCAACATTGCGCTCAGAGTGAGGAACCTTCTCCTCAGAGTCATGAACCTTCTTCTCAGAGTGCGGAACCTTGTCTTCAGTGTGAAGAACCTTCTCCTAAGTGTGAGGAACCTTTTCCTCAGAGTGACGAACCTTGACCTCAGAGTCAGGAACCTTGTCCTTAGAGTGAGGAACCTTGACCTCAGTGTGAGGAACCTTGTCCTCAGTGTGAGGAACGTTGTCCTCAGAGCGAGGAACCTTATTCACAGAGTGAGGGTCCTTGTCCTCAGATTAAAAACCTTGTCCTCGATGTGAGGAAGCTGTCTTCAGTGCGAGCATCCTTGTCCTCAGTGTGAGGAACCTGCCTTCAGAGTCAGGAACCTTGTCCTCAGTGTGAGGAACCTTGTCCTCAGTGTGAGGAACTTGTCCTCAGTGTGAGGAACCTTGTTTTCAGCGTGAGAAACCTTGTCTTCAGAGTGAGGAACCTTGTCCTCACAGTGAGGAACCTTTTTCTCACAGTGACGAACTATTTCGTCAGGGTAAGAAACCTTGTCCTGGATGTGAGGAACCTGCCTTCAAAGTCAGGAATCTTGTCCTCAGAGTGAAGAACATTGTCCTGAGAGTGACGAACCTTGTCCTCAGTGTGAGGAACGTTGTCCTCAGAGTGAGGAAGCTTATCCTCAGAGTGAGGATCCTTGTCCTCAGATTAAAAACCATGTCCTCGATGTGAGGAAGCTGTCTTCAGAGTGAGCATCCTTGTCCTCAGTGTGAGGAACCTGCCTTCGGAGTGAGGAACCTTGTCCTCAGAGTGAGGAACCTTCTCCTCAGATTGAGGAACCTTGTCCTTCAAAGTGAGGAGCCTTGTCCTCAGAGTGAGGAGCTTTGTCCTCAACGTGAGGAACGTTTTCCTCATGGTGAGGAACCTTGTCCTCAGAGTGAGGAACATTGTCCTCAGTGTGGGGAACCTTGTTGTCAGAGTGAGGAACCTTGTCTTCAGAGTGAGGAACCTTGTCCTCACAGTGAGGAACCTTGTCCTCACAGTGAGGAACCTTTTCGTCAGGATAAGAAACCTTGTCCTGGATGTGAGGAACCTGCCTTCAAAGTCAGGAACCTTGTCCTCAGAGTGAGGAACCTTGTCCTCAGTGTGAGGAACCTGCCTTCAGAGTGAGGAACATTGTCCTCAGAGTGAGGAACGTTGTCCTCAGAGTGAACATCCTTGTCCTCAGTGTGAGAAACCTGCCTTCAGAGCGAAGAATCTTGTCCTCAGAGTGAGAAACCTTGTCTTCAGAGTAAGCAACCTTGTCCTCAGAGTGACCAACCTTGTCCTCAGAGTGAGGAACCTGGTCCTCAGAATGAGGAGTTTTGTCCTCAGAGTGAAGAACCTGCTTTCAGAATGAGGAAACTTGTCCTCAGAGTGAGGAACCTTGTCCTCAGAGTGAGGAACCTTATCCTCAGTGTGAGGAACCTGCCTTCAGAGTGAGCATCCTCGTCCTCAGTGTGAGCAACCTGCTTTCAGAGTGAAGAACCTTGTCCTCAGAGTTAGGAACTTTGTCCTCAGAGTGAGGAAACTTCTCCTCAGAGTGAGGACCTTGTCCTCAGAGTCAGGAACCTAGTCCTCAGGGTGAGGAACCTTGTCCTCAGGGTGAGCAACCTTGTCCTCAGTGTGAGGAACCATGTCCTAAGTGTGAGGAACCTTGTCTTCAGTGTGAGGAACCTTGTTCTCAAAGTGAGGAACCTTGTCCTCTGTGTGAGGATAATTGTCTTCTGTGTGAAGGACCTTGTCCTCAGAGTGAGGAACCTTTTCCTCAGAGTGACTAACCTTGTACTCAGAGAGAGGAACCTTGTTGTCAGATTGAGTAACCTTGTCCTCAGTCTGAGGAACTTTGTCTTCAGTGTGAAGGACCTTGTCCGCAGAGTGAGGAACCTTGTCTTCAGAGTGAGGAACCTTGTCTTCAGTGTTAGGAACTTTGTCTTCAGTGTGAAGAACCTTGTTCTCAGAGTGAGGTACCTTGTCCTCAGAGTGGGGAACCTTGTCCTCAGAGTGAAAAACCTTCTCTTCAGGGTGAGGAACCTTGTCTTTAGTGTGAGGAAAGTTGTTCTCAGAGTGAGCAACCTTGTTCACGGTGTGAGGAACATTTTCCTCAGTGTGAAGAACCTTGTTCTCAGAGCGACGAACCTTGTCCTCAGAGTGGGAAACCTTCTCTTCAGAGTGAGGAACCTTGTCTTCAGTGCGAGAAACCTTGTTCTCAGAGTGAGGAACCTTGTTCACAGTGTGAGGAACCTTTTCCTCAGCGTGAAGAACCTTGTCCTCAGAGTGAGAAACCTTGTTCTCAGAGAGAGGAACCTTGTCCTCAGAGTGAGAAACCTTCTCTTCAGGGTGAGGAACCTTGTCTTCAGTGTGACGAACCTTGTTCTCAGAGTGAGGAACCTTGTTCACAGTGTGAGGAACCTTTTCCTCAGGGTGAAGAACCTTGTCCTCAGAGTGAGGAACCTTGTCCTCAAACTGAGGAACCTTGTTGTCAGAGTGAGTAACCTTGTATTCAGTGTGAGGAACTTTGTCTTCAGAGTGAAGGACCTTGTCCTCAGAGTGTGGAAGCTTGTCTTCAGAGTGAGGAACCTTGTCGTCAGTGTGAGGAACCTTGTTCTCAGAGTGAGGAACCTTGTTCTCAGTGTGAGGAACCTTGTCCTCAGTGTGAAAAACCTTGTTCTCAGTGTGAGGAACCTTGTCCTCAGAGTGAGGAACCTTGTCCTCGAAGTGAGGAACCTTGTATTCTGTGTGACGAACCTTGTCCTCAGAGTGAGGAACCTTGTTCTCAGAGTAAGGAACTTTGTCCACGGTGTGAAGCACCTTCACCTCAGAGCGAGGAGCCTTGTCCTCAGAGTGAGGAACCTTGTCCTCAGAGTGAGGAACCTTCTCCTCAGATTGAGGAAGGTTGTCCTCAGTGTGAGGAATCTTGTTTTCAGAGTGAGGAACCTTGTCTTCAGTGTGAGGAACCTTGTCCTGAGTGTGAAGAACCTTGCCCTCAGAGTGAGGAACCTTGTCCTCAGAGTGCGGAACCTTGTCCTCATAGTGAGGAACCTTGTCCTCAGAGTGAGGAACCTTGTCGTCAGAGTGAGGAATCTTGTCTTCAGAGTGAGGAACTTTGTCCTCAGATTGAGTAACCTTGTCCCCAGTGTGAGAAACCTTGTCCTCGGAGTGAGGAACCATCTGCTCAGAGCGAGGAACGTTGTCCTCAGAGTGAGAAACCTTGTTCTAAGAGTGAGGAACCTTGTCCTCAGTGTGAAGCACCTTGTTCTCAGAGTGAGGAACCTTGTCCTCAGAGAGACGAACCTTGTTCTCAGAGTGAGGAACCTTGTCCTCAGTGTGAGGAACCTTGTCCTCAGTGTGAAGAACCTTGTATTCGGAGTAAGGAACCTTGTCCTTATTGTGAGGACCCTTGTCTTCAGAGTTAGGAACCTTGTCCTCAGAGTGAGGAACCTTGTCTTCAGAGTAGGAACTTTGTCCTCAGTTTGAGGAACCTTGTCCTCAGTGTGAAGAACCTTGTATTCGGAGTGAGGAACCTTGTCCTCAGTGTGAGGACCCTTGTCTTCAGAGTTAGGAACCTTGTCCTCAGAGTGAGGAACCTTGTCTTCAGAGTAGGAACTTTGTCCTCAGATTGAGGAACCTTGTCCTCAGAGTGAGGAACCATGTCCTCAGAGTGAGGAACCTTGTCCTTAGAGTGTGGAAACTTTTCCTCAGAGTGAGGAACTTTCTCCTCAGAGTGAGGAACCTTGTCCTCACTGTGAGGAACCTTGTCCTTAGAGTGTGGTACCTGCCTTCAGAGTGATGAACCTTGTCCTTAGAATCAGGAACCTTGTCCTCAGTGTGAAGAACCTGCCTTTACACTGAGGTACCTTGTCTTCCGAGTGAGGAACCTTAGATAGATAGATAAACTTTATTTAAGCACACTAGTCCCATTCAACACTAAGCTGATTTCCATGAGAGGTGTGCTGGCTAATTGTTACAATTTAAAAACTAATTTATTATTACATACAAACTATTATTATATAAATCTATTAGATATTCATTTAAATAAACTACTTAAATTAATAAGTCCGAGGGCGAGGAGAAAAGGTTTTTACAAAACGAATTGTGAGATATCGAATTTCGAATATTTTCTGGTATTCTATTCCATAATTTAGCCCCACTGTAACTGAAACTTTTTTAAAAAAATTCTGTCCTGGGCCTTGGAATAAAAAGCCCAGTTGAAGAACCTCTTAAATTATAACTATTTACAGTGTTGGAAGATTGGAAAATGTTACACAGTCTTTGTGGAGCTAATTGATTTACTGTTTTGTACATGAGTTTGGCCTTCATTAATGCTCTACGTTCTTCAAGGGATGTCCAACCAAGAGCAGTACGAGCTAAGATAGACTGTCCATGCTCATTTTTAAAATTCATAATTACTCTAGCCGCTCGATTTTGCAATTTTTGAAGACGTTCGCCGAGGCCTTTGCCAAGCTCATCCCAAACCTCACAACAGTAATCAAAATGCGGCTGGATCAATGCATTGTACACCAGCACTAACGTATCTCGGTCTACAAATTCTTTAAGTTTTTTTAACGCACCAATCCCCGAAGATACTTTACTAGCGATATATTCAATATGTTTTTCCCAGTTTAGGTTCTCATCGATTTCAACTCCTAGCACTTTTGCGCTTTTTACTCTTTTGATTGGACATGTGTCGATCTTAGCTGTGTGTTGGACATCCATGCTATTAATCTTAGAACGTGATCCAATCAAGATATATTCCGTTTTCGCAATATTTAAGCTAAGTTTGTTTGAAGACAACCACACTTTAATATTTTTCAAATCCTTATTCGCTATCTCTTCTGCTTCATTTAACGTTTTGCCCACAGCTGTAAGGCTGGTATCGTCTGCAAACATCCTTGGTGTTGTATGTTTGAGACAATTTGGCAAATCATTTATATAGATAATAAACAGAAGAGGGCCAAGTATACTTCCCTGAGGGATGCCGCAAGTTATTCCTCTCTGATCTGAAAGCATTCCATTTAGCTGACATCTTTGTGTTCGATTTGTTAAGTAATTACTTAGTAAATCTAGGGCTTTATTACCAAAGCCATACCGTTCGAACTTACGTAAAAGAATTTCATGGTTGACAGTATCGAATGCTTTCTTTAAATCGAGAAGAACAACTATGTTGTATAGGCCACGGTCCATGTTAATATACCATTCATTAGTACAATCTAATTAGTACAATTCTTCGCCGAATTGATGCCCATACCTCTCGTGTGGCTTCGCCCTTGGATCGTGCCATGTCTCGGCGGTCTCCACCTAAACGTTCACTGACGGATACGCGCCCCGAACGTCGCTATCTACAGCAATAGGTGTCTAACGACGCGTGTGACTTTCGCTAGTTTGCTACTCTAATTTTCGTCCAGCGTGTGTTCATTTGTCGTTCTTGACTCATTCCCGTCAATAAACTGGCCTTACATTAGTGTTTTTTTTTGCTTTCGTTGGTTATGTTTTTTCCCCGGTTTACATCACGCCCGGGTATCCATCGCCACTCCTTGGGACGACGCCTCCACCCGTTGTTGGTAACGCTCCCAGGACTCGAATTTCTTACGTCGCCACTCGCTATTTCGAGTGGCGAGTGCGAGAATACTATCATCGCTCCAAGTTAGCAAGGCGGTTGGACCTGACAACATCCCAAACAGACTTCTGAAAGAGTTTTCACCTGTGCTAGCACCTATCCAGTACATTTACAATCAATCAGTGAGGGAAGCATATATTCCATCACTGCTCAAGTCTTCTATTGTATCACTGCTCAGGTCTTCTATTGTCACTCTAGTTCCAAAGGTAACCCCAACCTCGTCCACAGGGCCTTTTAAGGAAGGAGGCGAAGGGCAGCAAAGGCCTCCTTCCTCAATAGGCCCTGGGGACGAGGTTGAGGTAACCCCTCCCAAGGCCATAAGAAACGTCCTCCGACCAATTTCTCTCACCTATTCAGTAGCAAAGATTATGGAAGGCTTTACGTGTACCTCAGACTTTTGCCGCAATTAAACGAGAAGCTTGATGCCCGCCAATACGCTTGGAAGGGACATTCTACAACAGATGCCCTCCTATATATGTTACAGGCAGTTTATGAGGCGATGGATAGTGGTGAAGCAGGTGCCCAGATTTTCTTCGCAGATTTTAAAAATAAAGGGTTCGATCTCATTGATCACACCAAGTCAAATCCCCTTAAATACAAAGAGATGCTTGTAAACTTTCTACACAGTCCTAAGTTCTTACTCCATCCGATTGAAATTGGTAACAATGTTATTGAGCGAGTCAAGACTTATAAGATCTTAGGTGTTTTTATGAGCAGTGATCTAAAGTGGAATAGCCATGTCGAGTAAATTGTTAAAATCCAGTAAGAAGTTGTATTCTCTAAGGATTTGGCGAAGAGCTGGTGTCAACCAAAGTAATATGCTAAAAGTATATCTAGGTACAGTACGACCGGTGCTGATGCAATTGAGATTGAGTCGTTGGAACCTTAGTTGAACACAAAACTGCGTAAAAAATATTTGAAATTTGTTTCATAGTATTCCTTGTATTCCTTTAATTATCCCGTACCTTCCTTTCCTTTACCTTAGTAATATATTTTGTAAAGTGATTTCCATTTTTTGTTTACACTATGTTTTGACCAAATCCATTTGATTGGTTTATTTTTGTCACGTGATCGCTTTTATATTCATTAGTGTAAAAGCGCGTGTATTTTCCCGGTCCATGCTACTTAAAGGCCATTTTCCATTGCAGTCGCTTTGCCCGCGCGGGCGGAGCGAACAGTACTCGACTTTCTCTGTAGTTGTCTATCCTGTGCATTTTTTGTCTGTCTGAATACTCGCGGACACGACATGAAAGTAGAACAAAAAATTGGTCGCTCCACCCGCGCGCGACTTAACTTGTCGACAAAGGGCTTTCGCTCTGAAATATGATTGGATAATGAGTTGCTGTTTGGTCTAACAATTTATTGGGTTGTAGTCTTCAGATTAAGTGCTGTGAAAACAATTTATTTCGTCTCTGAAACGGACAGATTTTCACCAGTGGTGCCAATAGCGATACTAGTTGGTTGTACGCACTGCGTGCCTATTTTTGCTTGAGATTTGCTACTCAAAATGTCATTCATGCACACATTCATCGAAATTATACAAGGGTTTTAACTTCACCTTTGGGACCATATAGAAGTTACTATCGCAAGGTAAAGTGCTGCTTCGGGCAGGTTACCGGTGAGTTGCTTGTGTTAGGAGATTCAACCACTGAACTGTATTTACAATACATCTAAAATATGTAGGCAAATGGCGAGTTTTTATTGACTGGTTAACAAAACCATTGCGAGACAAGTTGGAAGAGGGGTGTTAAGCCGGTTACAGACAAGCAAGTTTTCATACGACAATTAGTTTTATTTGCTCGTCTGTATAGACAACTTTGCCAATATTTAATTTACTATGACAAATACACTTGTTCAAAAGCTAGTATGCTTGCTTTCGAACAAGTGCAATTGTCATAGAAAAAATTGGAAAAGTACAAATATAATTCTTCTATATGGGTCATTTATTATATACACAAGGTCTGGATATGAGTATTCTGCAATATAATTAGTTGTCTACTAGCAGGATATTTATTATTTATAGACCTGGAGCGAGGGGGTTCGGCGAAATATTACCCGAAGTGATGATATTTCCCGAGGGGCTTTGCCCCGAGGGAAATATCATCACTGAGGGTAATATTTCGCCGAATCCCCCGAGCGGAAGGTTTATAAATGATATATTATACCGAAAATTAAAAGCCTCCAAGTTGAGAATTAAAAACTTGACACATACCTTCGTGAATACGATGTTTTATTTTCGGATTAACGCAAGTGTCGTCGCTTTTCTTTCAAAGCACATATCGTTTGGAATATTAATGACAAAGCTCCCCGGGGAACATGGGGTGGAACATTGTCAAAAGGAACGCAGGCTCGCTAATTGATGACGTAAAGCGTGATATCGCGATTAATTTCATGCTCACGTGGCACAAACTAAGCTTCCTGATTGGACAATTTGAATTTGAGGTATAATATTAGCTCATATCCTGCTAGTAGAGAAAAACAAAATGGCGGCTCAAACTGAATTTCCGACGTTTGCGAACGAGAAAACGGCAAGTTGTTCGATTTTTATAGCCTTTACAGGATTAAAAACACAATGAAAAAACTCCCACAAATGTTTACAGGTTAGCAAATGAATTTTTAAAATTTTAAATGGTTAAAAATATATATTTTTGAAAACATAATCGGCCGAAAGAGCGAAGTCGAAGATAAAATCAAACAAAATAGAAAAATATTGAAAATAACGGAAAAGCAAAGTCTGTGAATCCAGATCTTGTGTATATTAGCTCATATCCTGCTAGTAGAGAAAAACAAACTGAATTTCCGACGTTTGCGAACGAGAAAACGGCAAGTTGTTCGCTTGTTAGTCTCGAGTCGCTCATATTCGACGAGAGTGAATGGAATAGCTATTTTATTTTATTATACACTCGCGCGCACTTAACCAATCAGTAATCGTTGAGAAGGTCACGTGCCGATCCAATATTTTACGATATTGGACAGGAACTTATTGGACACAGGGCCGGAGCTACGGGGGGTGTGACACCCCCCCCCAGAAATTCTATTCCAAGCTTCAGTCGGCAGGACTGCTATTTCAGTCGGCAGACAAAAATATTTTTGACGAATAAAACTACTACCGATATGATTTTCACCTGTTATATAAGAAACGGAAATTTTGATTACTCAAAATTTACTCAGCAGGATAATCATTATAATCGGTTAGCAAAACAAGCCCAGACTGACAGTTACACGACATAGCGATACAAAGTATATGTATAGCATATTTGATAGGTAGAACCGCCGAATACAATATATTGCCGCCAAAAACTTAATGATCAAATATGGCGATTTAGAACAGACTTTAGACAGATTTAGATCGAGGACGCGGACGTCAAAGACGACGTGAAAGTGGCGTGTTGTACCCATGTATGGATATGCCACATCATTTTGACGCCATTTTCACGTCGTCTTTGACGTCCGCGTCCTCGATCTAAATCTGGCTTTTATTTAGAGCACAACGGGCGTAACTTCAGGACCGCGGAGCAGGGGGGGGGGCAACAATTTCCATACATACGTAATTTTTATAAACTAAGAATACTGAAATCGTTCAGATCAGTTAACAACATATTTATAACTTATTATTATAAGTATTCAATCTATTTCTGGTTGGTTTAAACAAATGACGGGTAATGTTAGATTAATTAAGCCCCCAGTTACACGATACCGGATTCGTATCGGAGCGACATCAATTTAAGGTGTTTTCCATTCTTGTCTGCTATTACAACTTTTCATATATGAAGTTTTTGTTTAATTATGTTATATTATCAGAATTTTAAGTGCCAAATTCACCTCGAGTAAAATTTGATGTCGCTCCTATGCGAATCCGGTATCGTGTAACTGGGGCCTAGAAGTCGTCTATTAATTAAGAAACTTTTTAACAGCAACTAGTAAATTTGATTACATTTCCGAGGCTCTGGGAGGTCTCAGATTCAAAGCTTCCTCTGACAAACTCACGCCTTCGACGTTCGCTGTAGCCCCCTTAATAAAAAAATGGCTCCATAGTTGACCTCCAGCGGAAATTCCACAAGCTTCCATGGCTAGCAGGTGGTCGGTACAAGCTCGTTCGTCAGTCAGTTAAAATGACCTTACACCCCCTCTAAAAAATTCCCTGGGGGACGGCCCTGATTGGACAGTTGCAATCGTGGCTATTTTCATGGTTTTTCAATCCTTTTCAGAAGTTTTGTCAATTTCAAACATACGACAACTCGACAAGCGATATGGCAGACCAATGAAAAGAATTTGGGACATTAATATAGTTTTTTCTACCAGTTACGTTTTGTTCAAAATTGTAAAAGCGCGGGAAAACTTGTCTTCGCGAAATTCATTTGTTTGCAACAGCTTCTAGGTTAGTAATATTAATTTTTTCGTTAAAATTAGGTCAAATTTCCATTAAACATACATGGAATTGAGTTTATTTATGCACACATATTTGAAAAACAAGTTTATTAACTTTATGTTTAGTTATTTAAGCAAATTCGCCGCCGATATATGTCATATATGTAGTTGTAGGCGGCAGGTACAAAACGCAGGTTGCAGGTTGCAGGTTGGAATTTTGCAGGTTGGGAATTTTGCAGGTTGGAATTTTGCAGGTTGGGGATTTTGCAGGTTGGAATTTTGCAGGTTGGCAGGAACTTTGCAGGTTGATAATGCAAACTTAAAAT